GAACTGTGTACTGAAAATTTATTGTTAGTGAAGTTATGACAGTTGAACGGTCAAATATTTGTAGAAAACATTATCGATAATATTACGAAGTCAGTTGATAAAAAAGTAAGTATTTTCATGTTTATTTCTATAAAATTTCAATGTGACACATTTTTTTATAAATGTATTAATATACTTTAGATGAACGTTATTAATAAAGATTGGTTAAATGGGATGAAAATTAAACACAGAATGAATGTATCTGATCTTAAAGTAGGAGTTCAGTTCAAGGTTTTGGGTTTGTACGTGATGAGATCAAAATATTCTAATGAAACACCAGTGGCTAAGGTGAAGCTTGACGATGAACCATCATTTCAAATTTATTTGCCAGCGAGGTTTTCATTTACTCGAGAAAATCTGGCAAAAGGAATCGATAAAGATCTTAAGATTATATCTAATGGACGAAAAGATCAAAGTTCGAGTTATGACATAATGTTTATATGAATTAATTTTGTGTTTGAAAAAAATGAAAATAAAAAATATTGATAATTAAAAATTGTATTACATATAATTTAATCTCTAATGAAAATTTTAAGAATAGTTATGGGTAAAATAAACAAACGCATGTATTTTAAATTATAATGTGTAAACTAAAAAAAAAAAATCCCACCGTTAAAAGTATATACATGAATTGAAAAATGAGTGTAAAAGTAATTACTTGAAATAATAATTTGCAAACTTAATGTCTACAAAGTACAGATAACAGTAAAAAAGAGCAATGTATACGTCTATAATACGACATCAGTAAAATAACTTGATGAAAAAGAGTATATATAAAGGTGTTATAAAAGGTGTATTAAGCGTGTGAAAACGTCTATTAAATAAAAATTTCTTGGAAAATCATCTCCAGCCTGAGGACTGCTGCACGTTGGCATAAAATGTGCTGAGGTTTACAAAATGAAGTACATAAAACCGAGAAAAACTCTCCTTTCTGGTTTAATAGTATTTCATTTGTTTAATCGACACCTTAGAGTCTTCTCTATTTCAATATCATAATCATCATTATGTGTTATTTGTGTGATACTTGTGGAATGAAGTTCAATTTTTTGAAATCATTGATACGTCATGAGCAAACAGTACACAACAAAATTTTATATGGCTGCAGTTTGTGTTCGAAAAAATTTTCGAGAAAAGATAATTTCTCAAGACATGTTCAGCATACACACGGGTTAATAGGTTAGTATTGTATTTAAATCTCAAAAATGTATTTTTTATTAAAAATGTATTTAATAGGAACTGATAAAGTATTGAAAATGCGTTCTGTAAATATAGAAAAAGAAATAAAATCGGTTTGTGTGAAAAATGTGGTTAATTACGGTGCCAGCACCTCGAAAAATTTTTACGGTGAGCATACATAATAATATTATTCGCGTTTATTTTATATTAACTCAAATATTTTAATTATTAAAATGTAATTCAATAGATAAAGGTAATTCGGTTAAGGAAAGCGAGAGAAAAAATACTGATACAAAATTTTCTAATACTAGAGACAGCGATGATGAGCTTTGTAAGTTGAAATAAAAAAATTGATAAATCGTATTATTACTATTATTATTATTATTATTATTATTATTATTATTATATCAGTGCTAGAAGCTGCAAATAAGATAGATGCAAATTCAATGGACGTTCAAGTGGTAACCGTTTATCCTGGTGATATCGAAAGTTGTTAGTATAAAATAATAAAAATAAAAAAACCAATAAATGTTATAGTCATATAATATTTTTTTAGGGATTGACCGGTTTTCAGAAGATATCGAGTTTGAGGATATTAGTAAGTCATAATTCAAAGTAATTAATTTTTAATAAATTTTTATCAAGTGGAATTTATAAAAAAATACTCTATATTATTAGGTCAAAATAACAAAACGATCGGAACTGGGATAGAACACGCGTATCACTCTAATCAATCAAAAACAAATAGTAAGATAAAAATGTGAATTTAAATAATATAATACATAAATTATTAACGATATTAATTATATTTCAGGTGATTGTGTAAAAATTTCGCGTGCGAAAAAAGTTCAATCGATTTTTTCGGAGAACATCAATGTACATAGAATAGAAAACAGCAATCCATGCTCCATAAATGAATTTATCAAACAAAACAGTAATAGCATTTATGATGTATTTGAAAATGCTATAAGAACACATACAGCTGTGAAGACATCTTTAGATCTAGTTACTACGTATGAAAAAATAATTTTAAGCAATAATAATGTAAACACACCCGTTATTACTCAAACACTTAGTATTTCCCCATTTATTTTAACACCGTCGAGTAGTATCTCCGAGTGGGTTACTACTATTACACATCTACTACAGAAAAAGTCCGAAGAGGTAGAAACTCAAGGTAGTGGGTGGGTATTCAGAGGTGTTGTTTTCTTAGATATTAATACTTTCAAGTATGATCCATTAAGGGGTGGGTGTCATTTTAATTTACCAAAAAAATTATTTCGAAAAAATGCAATTGTAAATATTAAATGTAGGGAGGAAGATTGCTTTTATTGGAGTGTGGTTGCTAGTTTATTTCCGGTTCAGTCACGTAATGTGGATGTGACTAAACCAGAGTCGTATCCACATTATAATACAGTTTTGAATACTCGAGGTTTGCGAATACCTTTACTTCTAACCGACATAAGAAAATTTGAAGAAAAAAATGATATAAGTGTAAATGTTTACACTTACATCGGTGAAAAAATTACGGGTCCTCTACACTTGACCAGAAATAAACGTAGCAACCACGCAAATTTACTTTATTTAGATCAAAAAGACAAACCTTTCGGACATTTCTGTTGTATTTCGAACTTAGAGCGATTAGTTTCCGTTCAACTTTCAAAACATAAATCTCACAAATTTTTATGTGATGGCTGTCTATTATTCTTTTATTCAGAAGCAAAACTACTCACTCACCAACTCGAAAACTGCATGAAGGTTAAAACGGTTCTACCGAAACCCCCCAAACACATGGTTAAATTTCAAAATTTCCATATGCAATTCCCCGTGGAATTCGTAATTTATGCTGATTTTGAATCAATTCTAACACCTATTGCTACATGCGATCCTCAACCTGATATTTCTTATACCAATCAAATTAATATACACGATCCCCACAGTTTTTCATATCATATTAAATGTTCTTATGATGAAAATTTAGATCGCATGGAAGAGTACCGGGGGGATAATTGCGTGAAGATGTTTATTTCTAGGCTTAGGGAAGATATTATCCGTATAAGCGACATTTATTCTAACCCTATACCAATGGAAGCGTTATCTATTCAACAACAATATAATCACCATACAGCAACAACGTGTCATATTTGTAATGGTGAATTACGCTTCCATGATAAGGTAATGGATCACTGTCACTTAACGGGTAAATATCGTGGTGCGGCGCATAGAGATTGTAACCTGAAATGTTCGGTTCCATCTTTTATCCCCATAATTTTACATAATATGCAAAATTACGATTCTCATTTTATTATTACGGAACTCGGTTTTGGTGATGATGACGAAGGAATTGAAGTTATAGCTAAAACCAATGAAAAATATATGTGTATAAAAAAAACTGTAAAAACGACAAATAACAACCGGATAACCATTAAATTTATAGACTCATTAAATTTTTTACCATCATCATTGGAAAAATTAGCTGAAACTTTAATTCCTGAGCAATTTAAAATTACTAGGAAAATGCATTCTAATGATGAAAACTTTAAGTTAATGTGTCGTAAGGGAGTGTTCCCATATGAGTATGTAACTGATATGAATGTACTGAACGAATGCATTTTACCACCTAAAACCGCGTTCCGTAGTATATTAAATATGAGTGACATAACAGACGAGGATTACGACCATGCAAAAAAAATCTGGNGATTACGCCCATGCAAAAAAAATCTGGGAGAAATTTAATTGTTCAACTTTGGGGGAGTATTCCGATATATATTTAAAAACTGATGTTTGTCTTTTGGCTGATATTTTCGAAAATTTCAGAAGTGTTTGTTTAAAAAATTATGGGCTTGATCCTTGCCATTATGTTACTTCCCCGGGGATAAGTTTCGACGCTATGAAGCGAATTACTGGGGTTAAATTACAACTGATGACCGATATGGAGATGGTTAGCTTTATTAATAATGGGATTCGAGGGGGAGTATCTCAATGTTCATCTCATTATAGTAAAGCTAATAATAAATATGTTGATGACTACGACCCGTCGAAGCCATCAACATATTTATTATATCTCGACGCTAACAATCTCTATGGTGCAGCACTTAGTCAACATCTTCCCTATGGAAATTTTGAATGGATGCCACAATCTGAGATTGACGTTTTAGACGTTTCGTCAATCGAGGACGATAGTGATTGGGGAGTAATCCTAGATGTAGATTTAGAGTATGGTGAGCATTTACATAATGATCATTCAGAC